TTCTCAACAGATATTTTTTAAACAAGTGCAATCTAAGAAATTATTAAAAAAGCTGAAACACTATAAAACTATTTTCTGTCTTCTTTATGGCATTTTTGAATTATACGGTGGTTTTAAATGAATCTGTGTCAGAGTAGTTAAATGACAAAGCACATTTTAATGTCAAAAATACCACAGTTTAACATCAAAACTACTCGTAACACAGTCAATAACTACACCAATTATTTATTTTTGAGGTTAAAACACTCATCTGACCAAAGCCTTATCAGGCTGCAGTCCAACCCATTAGCCACACTCTGTCAAATCCATATCTGAACCTTAAAACGTTGTCATGTTTTAAAAAAACAAGCTCGTCTGCGCCACAGTTTTGTTCTTGAATCTCATCCATCCGCATGCAGAGCTGCACGACCGGTAAACTGGATGGTTGTGGAGGGTGGGTGATGGTGAATGCTGGCTGGAGCACAGATGTCCTGAAGATGCCTGAGTTTGTCCACCAGGGAGCGCTGTTTGTAGGACTGGAGCACACAGGAGGGCTCATATCCAGAAATGTCACTCATTCTAGGGGCCCGCAATAAATCCACCATATTATTTTGACAAAAATAAGTCAATAAAAACAGGCTGGGGGCAGAGAAATTCCAAATAAACTGTTGTACTGTCAGAAATGTAATAGGTTTAGTGACTGTCCACCAGAGAGTGTAGTTCACTGGAGTGGATACAGGAAGAAAGCACTTGTTGCTCAGAAAAAAACAATAACAGGTGGTTAAATGAACGAGCACAGAAATGAGCTACTGGGAGAGGCTCTGTGAGGTAATGTGGTGGGTGTTGGATGCCTGAGAAAAGTACAGTACATGTGTAACAGTGAAGGTGTCTAGAACAAATGAATAAAGATGTAAGCTAGTGACTGAAAGGAGACTGATGAGAAATGCTGAGACTGAAGGAGGGGAATGAGGTGGATACTGAGGTAAAAGCTGGCAGGTCGGGTCTTCGTGAGGAGTGGAGCTCACCTGGGAGGAGATGGGCCTGTCTAGGTGTACACAGTCAACTGGAGCCACTGCATATGGAGCAATCATGATTGGAATTAACAACAAATCTGTTGCCCAAAGGAACATGTATACATTTGTACTGTACTGGAAGAAGCTGTGGATTTGGAGTGAGTACATGTACAGCTAGCGTGCCACTATAGCGCTTACCTCCAGGACACTGAGACTGATTGTACCATCTCCATCCTTATCAAAGGCCTGGAATGCCCCTGGAGAGGAAAACATATGCAACTATGATTCAACACAAGTGTGGCTCACCTTATCCAAGAGTACAAAAAGCACACCACACATTATTTCAGCCACTTGAATTCTACTCAGATCATTCACTGTTTTCTACTTGTGACAGTGTGTGTGGGGCGCTGACTTACTGAACATGGCTTCGAGGCGAACCAGACAGCTGACGAAGCTGTCAAAGTCGATGTTCATGTTCTCGTTGGCGTAGCGTATGGTGATGATGTCGTACAGCTGGTTGTTGAGACGAAAGCCTGAGCAGGACACAAGATACCCAATAAACCCCAAAGCATCTGCAAGGATATTTTAATAGGTGGAAAAATAATCTCCTTGCTATTTGGATGGACTGAAAGAATTCATCATTTTTCCGTACCTGCATCGTTGATGGCATTCCTCATCTCGTAACTGCTGATGCTACTAGACCGGTCAGTTTTATAATGTTTAAAGATTCCCTGGAAGAGAGTAAAAGTGAATTTGATGTACATTCATCCTGCAGAGTGTACCTGTTCATCTTTAAAGATTAGCCTTAAAAGTGCAAGTATATACTTTTTCCTTCTTCACAAAATCAACAAAAATGGGAAAGAAGAACCAGCCCTCCCACCTGCCACTGTCTGATCTTATTCCACAGATGTCTAAACTCCTGAAGATTGAGTTGACCTGTCCCGCCCATCTGAACAGTGGCAGTTAAGACCAAAGTCATGAAACATATCGGTAAGTGCCAAGTGAGAAAAACAAGTGGCTTCATATGTTTATATAATTATACAAGTCTAACACTGATATTTCATCATTTTGGTGTCACACCTGGATGTGTCTGGGAATTGGATCATAAACATTCTGTGTCAGCTAAGTGGATTGTGTACATTTAAAAAGAGTTATTTTCTATGTTCTCTGTTGTTCCATCTCAGATGTACAAAAACACTCGATTGCCTGACATAAACACGCCCTGGGTATGAGCATTTGAGGTGAGAATAATACTAGATACTGAAAAACGAGAATGTGGTGTTATGGGAAATATCAGTGTTTGTGTAGTGCGATGAAGCCTAAGCCCGAACGTCCATCACAGGTTGTCCCTCCTATACAGTAGATGCCACAGCCAGCCCGATGCACTCGATACAAAGGATACGTCCATCAGAGCGATCATGCTCCTGCAGCTCTCCAGGCTGAAGCCTTCTGTGTTCAGGTCCCTGTCTGCAGGGAAAACAGAGTAAGATGTTGGCAAGAATAAATAGACAGCATGGCCAGGAATCTGTGTTTGAGACTGCAGTCTTTCAGAACTCACGTTGCAGCCTAAGGGGCTGTATTTATAACTGTATTTAGGCATGTGCTTCCTTGATTGAGAGGTGACCCAGCTGATACAAATCACTAAGTGTGATCTATTAAAATGACTTAGTTTTTCATGTTCTCATTGCCCACTCTAAATGACCAGTGTTTATATGATGTGGTGTAAATTAGAAAACTGCTCTACTCTGGCTTCTGATACACGCTCCTCCCATCAGTTTCCCCCTTGAGCAGCACAGTCCATCTTATTCGACTCGACTCACATGTGGTGATCACTCTGTTGAGAATGTTTTTCAGTTTGTTGGCTGTGATTTC